CCTCAAATATGGGGTCTATCGTAAAACCGTTGGCTGGCGCAGTGTAGGTCAGACTCATCTACAGTCCTGCCAACTTTCTGGTGCAGCCGTTTTTATGGTACGGTTGACCAAAAATCACTGAAAAAAATAAACAGTACGAAAACAATATKACTCCCGCTYAYRCTTCRCRTGCGGGGGTCATAATAAGTTCAAGTAGTACACCCGTGTTGCAAAACTGACAYCCATCAAACAAGTCTGAAATATACTTGACTATTTGACTCATTAGTGTTTGGACATGGAACTGTATCCACCATCATCGCTCTCAGGCAAAACACAGATAAGTGACAGGACAGGGGTACTTCAGGTGAAGTAGATCTATATAAGTAGGCCTGGCTGGATCCTAAACTCTGCTGACYGCAGCATTTTGAACAGACTGCAAACAATTCTGAGCAAAGACACTGAGTGAAGAAAACAGTGCAGTACATWTAGGGTGAATAAGCATCTCTAGTTCTGCATCTGGAAGGACAGGTCTCAACTTAMTGATGTCTCTTAAACTGAAAAGAAACTGGATCTTGTCAGCTGTTCAACATGTGTATCAAACAACAGAGACTGATAAAATAGATAATCTATATTTATCACATTTTAGTTGACAGCAGAAGAGAGTTGCCTAAAGGTTTACGTAATCAAAGGCCTCAYACTGTCAGGAGCAACAACCATCACCTCTGTCTTTTCAGCATTTAACTGTGTTTTCAGCCATCCAGCCCCTTATAGCATCCAGACAATGAGCTTATGAGTTTTTTTCACCTTAAATGAAAAATGGAGTTGGATATCATCAGCAAATTGACAWTAAAGAATGTTAAAACTCTCAATAACCTGACCCAAAGATAACAAACGTGTTCTCTCTTTGCAGAACTGTGAGGCTCACAGGTTGAGCCTCCAGTTGTTAGRTGACTCTGCTGTGATGGAGGACTTTTCTCTACTGGCCCAATGATTTCCACTCCTGCCTTTGGCTGATTGCTGGCAGCCTAGGATGGAAGACCCGGCAAGTGCTGYTCCGAGCCACCGTGACACCATCAACCTCTTCTGCCTCCCCTCCTCTGAACTCACTGACACACCCGAACCGACACCACCAGGCAGGCAAGGCCCACTGCAGGTTGACCAGGTTCCAGGATGTTTGTRAATTTCCGCCGGATTCGAAAATGCCAGTTGGTGCAGCTGATGACCACCTGTCTGCTGCTGTCAGTGGCGATGGTTTGCTGGGAGCAGCTGGACTCAGTTGTTGTCAGCCACGTCAAGTCCTACTCCTTCCGCTACCTGGTCAACCGATTCACCAACGTCAACCRGAGCCTCACCATCCCACGTGAGCAGGCCAGGAGCTTCAGCAACTTCCCCTACCTGTTGGACCACGCTGACAAGTGCACCGGCAAAGATGTCCTCCTSCTCGTCTTTGTCAAATCGTCCCCAGACAATACAGAGAGGCGAAACGCCATCAGGTCCACATGGGGTAATGAGACCTACATCCAGAACACCCTGGGGGTGACGATTAAGGTGGTGTTCGCCTTGGGAGCCATTCGGCCTAAGACAGGAGGGCCTTCGTGGAGCATCAGGAGTGGAGCAGGCCTCCAGGAGCAGCTCGTCCAGGAGAAYGAGCTCCATGGGGACTTGATTCAGAAAGACTTTTTGGACTCCTTCCACAACTTAACCCTGAAGCTGATCATGCAGTTCCACTGGATGCACAATCGCTGCTCCCACGCCCGTTTCTTCATGACTGCTGATGACGACGTCTTTGTCCACACGCCCAACCTGGTGAGGTACCTGCAGGACACGAGCCACAGGGGCGYCACAAACTTCTGGATCGGTCGAGTACACACGGGGGCGCCGCCTGTCCGCAACAAGGACAGCAAATACTACGTTCCCTATGAGATGTACCAGTGGTTGGCCTATCCTGACTACACAGCTGGGGCCGGCTACGTTGTCTCCAGTGACGTGGCGGACAAAATCTACCACGCCACGCTCACCCTGAACGCCTCTTTTTACATCGACGATGTGTTCATGGGCATCTGTGCCAATGCTGTGAATGTGTCACCACAGGAGAACGTCTATTTCTCAGGGGAGGGGAAGGCAATTTACCACCCGTGTATCTACAGTCGCATGATGACATCACACAGCCACGTAGAGGACATTTATGATTTGTGGACGGCAGCGACACACCCGCAGGTGAAGCAGGGGACATCTGGACTCTTTGGACAGCTGTACTGTACAGCTGTAAGAATGGCTCTTCTTTGTAAACCTCACTTTTTTGACACCTACCCTTGCAAAGCTGCATTTTTGTAAAAAATAAACTTGTGTGTATAAGAGGAAGTAAAAATGTGTCCTATAATATAATTAGACACATTTTTTAACATTACCTCAGTCCTTTCAGTTGAACATTTATACCAAACCACTGTGCTMATTTCTGCAGAAGAAGCTGGAGACACAGCTGTCTGTTTTACCGTCTGTGGCTTGTAGCTTCACTCACTTCCTGGCTGGGAGCTCACTGTAAAAAATGTCAGAGAGACAGGCTTCTACAGAAATTATCTTTACATGTTGTTCAAACTCAGACTTCTGACAAATACAATTCAGCTTTTGGTCACTATTTCATTTCAGACAATATTCTTTGTTGTCTWTGATTTCACAACATTCCACTAGTGATGCTAGTGATACAAGTACATAAACTATAGTGATAAAAAAATACGTTTTCTTTGTTCTTCTTTCCACTGCACCCTGCTGCAGGGCTCACCACAGAGTGAATTCACATGAAATACTTGGCAGTTTTACAGACAGACATTTAGGTGACCTTTCAGTGTGTGTGTGTGTGTGTGTGTGTGTGTGTGTGTGTGTGTGTGTGTGTTTAGTTTTTGTTATAGTTTAAAAGTGTCTTTTTGAAATAAATTGCAGAACCAGAAGCAACATGAAAGAAGTAAAAGTGAGTGTTATGGAAATAACACTACCAGTGAGAATCTATTATTGCCAATGATAACTCAATTAGATCCTATTTGCAAAAAAAAAAAAAAAAACAAATAAAATGTTCAACCTGTTGTTGAAGAGCCGTCTTGTCTTTGTGAGTGCCACTTTTATTGAGCTGAATAAAAAAATCAAATTTCACATTTCTTTATAAGTAAAACGGCCTATTTATTCAATTTGGTTTAGTGGAACCAGTTGACATAACTTGGTTAAATAAATTTAACACTTAATTTCTTAGTGTTGGGTGGTGATGTACGAGACTAACTGGAAGAAAGTGTCAATGTGCAAAATGTGGAAAAAAAAATTATGGGTCCATGGCGGCTGATGACTTGTCCAAGAGGCAGGATGTATAATGTGAAGAGAGTAGGACCAAGAACTGACCCCTGAGGAACTCCACAAGTGACCGTATGAGTCTTTGACTTGGCTTCTCTGATGGCAACATATTCAGTTCTGTCAGAAAGGTAGGACCGGAACCAGTGAAGGACAGTATCATGAAAGTTTGTGAGAGACGGTTGAGGAGGATATTGTGGTCAATAGTGTCAAATGCTGAAGACAGGTTAAGAAGGAATAAAAGAGACGGTGAGCCTGCATCTGCTGCCATCAACAGGTCGTTGGTGACCCGGATTAAAGCTGTTTCGGTGGAGTGTGAAGAGCGAAAACCAGACTGAAACTTCTCAAAGAGCTTGTTTGATTTGAGGTGATTATTTAACTGTGCAGCAAAAACTTTGTCTAGAACTTTTGAGAGGAAGGGGAGATTGGCTATGGGTCTGTAGTTTGTAAGGATTTCTGGGTCCAGGGTGTTTTTTTTTAGAAGAGGTTTGATTATGGCTACTTTAAGCGATGATGGAACAGAACCAGACTGAAGAGACATATTGACAATGAGAGTGATTAATGGCCCAATGGTAGAGATATTTGTTTTTAAGAGAGTGGAAGGAAAGGGGTCAAGGGCACAGGTAGTGGGTTTTTATGCTGAAGTCTTACAGGTGGTGAGTTTGTAGCAGAGTGGTTCTACCACACAGGTACATCAGGTGGTTTCTGAGAGTTACAAGGTTCTGTAAAAGCACTTTGAAAACAATACAGCATTGTACTGATATTAGACATTTTAATTTGTACTTTTTTGACCAAGTAACTTTTACTTGTAGTTGAGTAGATCTGACCATGAGTATCAATACTTTTACTCAAGTACTAGAGTTGAGTACTTTGTCTGCCACTGCTTGCTGCAAATGAGAACAATTACAACTTGCCTGATAGCAACACATTCCTGAAAACTTCTCTACATTGTAGTGAGATATGTGGTCCCTAAGTGTTTGCAACCCATACTTCCTGTTTACCAGATGTTTATAGTAACTAAATAAATTTACTCTGTTACAGTACTTAAAAAGTTTTTTTGAGGATTTGTAATTTTACCAACGATTTTTTTAAAAAGCAACTTTTACTTTTAATTTGCTACATTTTAAAGCTAAAAATGATACTTTTACTTCTTTACTTTAAAATGTAACACCTAGTTACTTGTTACAAAACTAGATACCGCATGGCTGTAACATAATGAC